TGTATCCTCCATTTAACCGAGCAAGAGGAGGCTCGACAGAGAGAAAACCTCAGGAAACCAGGGCACAGGAAAGAAAGGGAAGAAGAGGTACCTCTTCAATGCAAACGTAAAGCACAACAACACGAGAAACCACCTCAAAGAAATGCTCTCCCAGAAACTCCCATTTCCAATTCCCTCACAGCCAAAATTTCCACTCTCAGAAAAACTTTTTTTTCAACAACCTTAAAAATTTAACCTTAAAAATTTCAAAAGGCTTAAAAATTTCAAAAGGAACTGTGTTTATAAGCAGAGAATAGAGGAGAAGAGAAAAGAAGACCACCCCTAACTGTCCACGGTACTCGAATCGGGCCAAAGAAAAAAGGACATGCTCCCTGCTCACAGAAGGTGAAGCTACCGAAGCCTCTCAGACCGAGCGGCGAGACTAATGGCAGCGAGGGAAGCATCATGCAGAAGAGAAAATATTGTTGTTCAAGTGTACCAGGGAACAAGCTTCCCAGAGTCAAACAACCATGAAAAGGAAAACCACGGCTCAGAGAGACTGGCACGGCTTCGGGAAGGAAGGTCGCGGGCAGCAGCATATCAGGCAAGGACGAACGAGGTCAACCTTCTCTCGCGCGGAGGAGGAAGAGTTCGGTCGGCTCGAGAACGAGAAAGGGAAAGGGCTAGGCACGCGAACGGGAGAGGGAAAGGAGGCAGAGCTCAGGTGCGTGCGTTAGGGGAGTTAAGGCTTAAAGAGGAAAGGGGGAAAAAAGTTTAATATAAATTAATATATATATAGTCCGTTTTGTCATCCGGGGTCGCTCGGACAACGTCGTCGACAATCAGGTCAAAAACACGTCAAAATTCAAACTTTACAAAATTTTGACCCGCGATCGATCGCTTCAAAAGGTTAATTCGAGCATTCGACAAGTAAGAGTGCAAACGAAGCGAATCATGGTGATCGGACGTGTCGACTCTCCGAATTACAAAATTTTGTGCGCGGGAGTGCGAATTGTGCAAAAGGCCACCCTAAGGCTCAGGAAGGTCCTATAGGGAATCCCTTTTGGGTTTCCTCATGTTGGTTTCATCCTTTTAAGTGCTAGAAGTTGATACCCCACACGCGAAACTCCAGAAGGGGACGGAAGCAGGTTGAATTTCTAGAAAAAGGCGGGTCCCATTTCTAAGGTTCTAAGATAGTCGAAGGGAGGTCCCTAAGACTAGATCCTAAACCCTAAGAGAAAGACTAGACCTGACTAAAAATGAGGTCAACAATGAGAAAAAGAGATCTTCGAGAATGTAGTAAGGCCATTCCTAGTAAAAACTTAAGTACTTAACATCAATAATTAGTTCTGCATTTTAAGATGAGGACTTGAAAGGTAAAAAATACAATGAACCATTGTCATAGAATTAGATCGGAGCACCTAAAAGACAAAATTCTTTTGACGAGTAAAATTCAAGATTTTATGATTTGAGATGTTCTTAAAGAAGTTAATTTTTTTGTGTGATAAAGTAACAAATACTATTAAATAAATGACAAATGATGCACTTGAAGAATCAAAATGAAAATTTTTTATAAGTAAAACTAAATAGTGGTGGAATAATAATGTGCAAGAAAAGATAAAATATATGAAGTTTTGTTATAAAAATTAATTTAAATGTCAAATCTTATAAAACTGGAAAAAAATATAAGGTCGCCTGTAAGAATTCTAAGAGAATAGTTTGTCATGCTAAGAATTCTGTTTTTAGTAATTTTTATGATAGATTAGATAATAAAGGGAGCGAAAGATATATGTATAAATTAGCCAAACAAAGAGAAAAATAAAATAAAGAGATTCAATTCAAGTATGTATTAAAGATGAAAATTATAAAATTTATTTCTTTGAAGAAGATATTCAACATCAGTGGGTGAGATATTTTGACAAATTTTCAATGAAAATTTTAAAAATACAATTGATCTTGGTTGTCTTAATACTGTTAATAATAATTAATTTTTTTTTATTTTTATTGTCGCATTATTAAAAGGAAGTTGAGGGGCTTTAAAGAACTTAACCATGGATAGAAAATCAGTAGGACTTGATGATATCTTAATGGAAGTGTGAAAATATTTAGGAGATATGTGAATTCTTTTGTTTATTAAATTTTTTATTATTATTTTAAAAATTAAAAAGATGCCTGACAAGTGGAGGAAAAGTATTTTAGTCCCCTAAAAAGATGCCTGACAAGTGGAGGAAAAGTATTTTGGTCCCTAATTTTAAGAATAAAGGGATTCACAATAGTGTGCAAATTATAGATGAATTAAATTAATGTGTCATGCATTAAAATTATTGGAGAGAGTAATTAAACATAGGTTAAGACGTGATAAAAAACTTTTCATAATCAGTTTGGATTTATGTCTGGCAAGTCTTCTATGGAAGCTATTCATTTATTGAGAGGTTTGATGGAGAAGTACAAAGAGAGTAAGGAGGATCTATATACAATTTTTATTGATTTAGAAAAAGCTTACGATAAGGTTTCAAGAGAAGTTCCTTGGAAAGTTCTAAAAAAAAAGTTGTTGATATGGCTTATATTCCAGGTATTAAAGACATGAATACTAGAGCTATTACTTGTGTATGAATAGGAGGATTGACCAAGTATATTCTCATTTCAGTTGGATTACATCAGTAATTCATTTTAAGCTAATATTTTTTTGTTTTAGTTATGGATGCACTTGCTAGACATTTATTGTAGGATGTACCTTGGTGTATGCTTTTCGCTTATGATATTCTTTTTGTGGATAAGACTAGAGAAACTATTCCGGATAAACTTGAATCATGGAGGTCTACATTAGAGTCTAAAGGTCTTCGTTTGAGTAAATCTAAAATTTAATACATGTAATGTAATTTTAGTAATAACAGTATATCTAGTGACAGAGTTGCGACAATGGGGATATTATTAGCAGAATTCAAATTGCATGGTTAAAAGTGCCGCTTAATCTTAAAGGAATGCATTGGGTCTATTGTGTGATAGAAAAGTGTCGCTTAAACTTAAAGGAAAATGTTATAAGATGGTGGTGAGACCTGCAGCGTTTTATGGCATAGAATGTTGGCCTATAAAGGAGAAGCATAAAACCCAATTAAATGTTGTTGAGATTAGAATGCTTAGGTGGATGAGTGGCTTGACTCTTAGAGATAAAATGTGAAGCGAATGTATCTGTGAAAGGGTTGGTGTAGCTCTTGTGGCATACAAGATTAGAGTGAGTCGTTTTAGATGGTTTGTTCACATTAAACGTCGATTATTTGATGATGTTGTTTGAAAAGTAGATGTCTTAGATTCGGCTTATGCTAAGAAAGGTCGAGGTAGACCTAAAAATACTTGAGCATGTTGTATAAAAAATGATATCAAATTATTAAAATTAAATGAAAATATGTCACTCAATGGGACACAATGGAGAAAAAAGATTCATGTAGTAGACCCCACTTAGTGGGTTAAAGACTTGTTGTTTTTTTTAATACATGCCAATGATGATTGACTGTGAAGGGTTGTATAGGGCAAGAAAATTTATATTTTATTCCTTAATTATGTGTTAGTTGATTTGATTGCAATAATTTCAATCTTGGCTCGGTTTAAGTTAATTAAATAAATATGGAGGCTATGATGAACATCACTAATTGTTTGAATTATTAGGACATGGATGGCCATTATAAAGTTATGATTGAGGCAGTTGTTTTGCAAATATTTAGCAAATAATTAAATAGATAAAAGAAGCTGTGATGGTGCTGTTTAATTTGGGTTTTGTGGGTTGTTATAGTTATGATTATTGGATGTGGTTGATGTGTGCGTTTTTATGAAAGAATGAGACGATTATGATCGATTATTCTGGGAATTTTGAATTTGAATTAGGTAATGTTTAGGGTTAATTTAAAATTTAATTGGCATTAATTTAAACTTAAATTTAGACTAATCATATGACAATCTTATTGATTTTGAATTTCATGCTCCCTTAAACAGGCAGGTTAACGTGATTAATTTTGGTTTTCATGTTTTAAACACACACACACTTCATATAAATACAACTTATTGCCATTTTCTAACTCCATGACAATCTGAATCTTTATTTTGCTAGGTATGTTAATCGGGCCTTGTATCTTTTGCACCTGACCTGTGGTCCCTCACATCCCAACACGGCAGCAACCTATATCAATGTAGCAATGATGGAAGAAGGGCTGGGAAACGTTCATGTGGCACTCAGATACCTGCATGAAGCCCTCAAGTGCAACCAAAGATTATTAGGAGCAGATCATATTCAGGTTTCTTCCATTTTTCCACTCCCATCACTTTCCTACTCATAAAGTTATGTTAATTCTTTATCAAATATATCACAGACCGCTGCCAGTTATCATGCGATCGCTATTGCTCTTTCTTTGATGGAAGCATACACTTTAAGTGTTCAACATGAGCAGACAACCCTTCGAATACTACAAACGAAGCTTGGAGCAGAAGATCTTCGCACCCAGGTAAATTCAGCTGTGCTTTATTGATATGCCAACTTCATTATATTTGATACTTGTGCACCTGGAACTTCTTTTCTATGAATCCATGCAGGATGCTGCAGCTTGGCTTGAGTACTTCGAGTCTAAGGTACAAGAACAGCAGGAAGCTGCACGGAACGGTACTCCAAAGCCCGATGCTTCAATTGCCAGCAAAGGTCATCTAAGGTAGAAATGTGATATTATTTTTTGATGTTTTAAAATATTCTACATTTAGGAGCACTATGTTGTAGAAGCTTTAGCAAAACCTGCTTATCCTGATATTTTGTGTTCGTGGTTTGTTTTTTGAAATGCTCTACAGTGTTTCAGATCTTCTTGATTACATAAATCCAGATGAGGAGCTTAAACTAAGAGAGATTCAAAAGAAACAAGCCCGGACAAAGGTAACGATTTTTTCATTCTATTCTCTCTTTTTTAACCCCCCCTCCCCCACAGCCTGAATTGCTTACTTTAAGCGATATGTTCACAATACAGATCAAGGACAGGATTGAACAGAATCAATGGAAAACAATCAAAGATGAAGAGCTAAAGGAGGAAAAGAAAAAAGCAGATTATCCACAGAACAATATCTCCAATGATAAAGAGAATAATGCTCTTAACCAGCCTATGGAATCTAAAGATGGGAAACTTCATAATTCCGTTGCTCCCATGCCATCAAGTTCACAGAATGATGGAGAACAGGGTGAAACCTCCGATGAAGGATGGCAGGAAGCAGTTCCCAAGGGACGGTTTTTCTCAAACCGTAAGCCTTCCAGTTCAAGGAGACCTAGCCTTGCAAGACTGAACACCAACGCCATTAATAATGGAGAAACAGGTAGATACAGGGGAAGAGCGGTCTCAAACTTCTCCTCTCCAAGAACCTCACCAAGTGAGACCAGTTCCACTAATTCCATGAGTCCTTTTTCAGATAAAAATGTAAAAGCTTCCAGCTTTGGTTTCAAACCTCCAACCATCACTATGGCTGCCAAGGCAGCTCCATCAACAATTTCAATGAATGGTCCGTCCACTAGGAAAAACTTATCATACAAGGAGGTGGCATTAGCTTCACCGGGTACTATAATGAAGCCTGTAGAACAACAATCACCACGAGATGAGTATCACAATGACCAGAATGGTGAAGCATGCACGGAGTTGACCATAGTGGAATTACAACCCAATGGAAAACAAACTGAAGAAGATAAAGCCATTGAAGATGAAGCTAAAGAACATACAATTGATGAGAGAGGGGTTCCAGAAGAAAATGTTATTTCTAAGACAATATCATCTACAGAAGTGGAAGCACAAGTAAAATGTCTTGCTATGGTGGACTCTATGAATTGTGATGGTTCGAACGATTCAAGGATGACTTCACCTGAAACTGAACTGTCCAAAGAAATGGGGAATGATACAGAAAATTGCATGACTGGTGACAATGTCATGGAAGAATTTGAAACGTCCATAGCTATTGAAGATTCTGTCGAGAAGGAAATTGAGGAAGCTGTAGCTGTTCCTCATGAGCTATCTTACTCTGATGGAAATGTGCCTGCCTCCGTAGAGAATGCTGTGGAACAAGAAGATGATGCTTCTGACCTTTCCAGTGGAGGGGAAAATGAGAGAACTTCAACAATGGAAGTGGAGAATAATCAACAAACAAAGGAAGCAAGCAAGAAACTTTCAGCATCTGCACCTCCATTCAATCCATCTAACATGCCGGTCTTTGGTTCAGCTTCAATTCCATTCATAAACGAACATGGAGGAATTCTGCCTCCACCAGTCATTATGCCGCCAATTTTGACAACTAATCCTATTCGTAAGCACTCTCATCAATCTGCTACAACAAGGATTCCTTATGGTCCCCGTCTTGCTGGTATTTACAACCGTGCCGGGCATCGAGGTGCTAGGAATAAGCTCACCATTCAAAATATTGAGCCGATTGTTGTTGATGGAACTGGTTTTAGTCCAAAGGCCATGAATCCAGATGCTGCTGAATTCATACCTGGCCAGCCATGGCTCCCTAATGGCTACCCAGCTTCTGTGTATGGCTTCCCTGTTTTTTCTCCAGAATCTTCAGCTTCATCAGACAGTTTAGCAGCATCACCAACTGTTTCTGCTAACGTTTCTGAAAACAGTGAAGGTTTGCCTAAAGGAAACGATCAAGGTGTCCATCCTTCTACAGAAGAGAGTGAGAAGGTTGGTGTGGTTGATCCTGAGATAAATACAAAAGCTAAAGATGCAGTTCCTGAAGGTGCAACTGTGGAGGCAGAATCTTCAGAGCCAGCTAGTGTTCAAAAGTGTATAACATTGGAGATAAATACAAAAGCTAGAGATGCAGTTCCTGAAGGTACAACCGTGGAAGTAGAATCTTCTGAATCGGCAAATGTTCAAAAGTCTGTAACATGTTGGGCTGATTATAGTGACAGCGAAGCTGAATAAGTCGAGGTTTTGAATTGTAAGAAAAGAGACTGGAGAAGGAAAAGTCTTGCACGATTTGTTATTCCAAGAACAATTAATCTACTCTGGCAAATGAGGGAGGGAGGTAAATTTGAGCTCATTCCGTAGGTTCTTAGAACTATTTGGAATTCAATTTTGTATCTCCTAATACTTTTTTGAAGGCTGTAGGGGTATTGTGCTGAGCTAATTTTTGATTCGTGGTAAAAGTTCTTAAAGGTGCGATCATGGAGTCCCTCTTGGATGGACATTCATCCGATGGAAAATTCTGTAACTTTGCAAGAGGGAAGTTCACTCAATAGCTCTTCTAAAGTTGAGATTACCTAACAATATGTCTGCATAAGTTGTGAGCAACATCCTGTTTGTACTTTGATTCTATTCTCAGTGGTGGCGAAATCTACAGTGTTCTGCGGCAATAAATCTAATGTAATAAGTGTTTTGTTCTAATGTTATTTAGTATTAAGTTTTTTTTTTTTTTTTGGGTGATTTCTAAGACTTGGGACAGATCCTTCCAATGACTTTTAAGTCTTTTCCTCTTATCCATTCTAGTTTCATGGTTTTCAGGCAAAGGAGTGAATGAAAAGGAGCATGTTGCATTTTTTATGAATATTAAATGATTGTAACTTCGGAGTTATTTAATTTTCTGAAAAGATGAAAAGTTGATGTAAAGTAAAAGGAATACATGGATTTTGAAAAATTGGGTGTTTGAAGAGAATGTAATGTAGAGCGAAATTTTGTAAGTATTTGGTAATCATCATTTTGTTCATTTCTAAGGTATTTGAAAATCAACCAATTTTGATTTAATTTCAAATATAACTCAAGAGTGAAGCTTAGTTGGTTGCTTGTGTCACTCATTTCTGTGCTTTACATTGATTTTATTTATCTTTAAGATGAATTTAAATTTGTTAATGAAATATCATATTTAATTTTTATATTAGTGAGCCGAATTTATATAAGTTGTTTTAAATTTTAAATTATTTATTTTTCTTTCATTAAACCCGCAATAATTTAAATCATATTTCTTGGTTTAACGATATTAAGTTTAGTTTTGTCTCTCAAAACTTAGATGGACTTTCTAAGAAGCTAAAAATTGGTGATGTCTTAGCTTAAAGAGGTATTTAGTGCCACATGTGATGCTTACAATTGAAATGTCACTTTAATTTATTTTTTTAATATTATTTGAAATATGACACTATATGATATACGACGCAAGGGAGAAAAAAGGTTCGTGTAGCTGGCCCCACTTAGTGGGATAAAGGTTTGTTGTTGTTTTGGTTGTTGAATTCTCTCCTATGGGAAATATTTTCTCATCAATTTGGTAGGGAGGCTTCTCTCTCAGAAAAATTATATTTATGCATAAGTTATCTTCTTCTTATTAAGCAAATACTTATTGTCATCATTTATCATCTTTAAAAAGATCATCTTGGTGTTATCTATTAACTTAAAAGAACACGAGAAGGGTGTTAAATTATTATTATTATTTTATGTTCTCTAGGAACATTTTCTTATACACTACTCATCTCAAGTAAATACATGTGCAAAGTAACCATTCAAACACATGTAAATGACACATATAATTTCGAGTCGTTATATATAACGGGTTTTAGTGATATGAAGATGAATCAGTAAGAAGCATAAAAATCAATGCATCTTTCAACACGATTTAGGACTAGCACTTGCATGTCACTAACTCAACTAAGAAAAACAATCATGCAATTGCGTACATACCATTAGAGATGATGATGACAAAAGATGATGGTATTTGTGAGCGTACAAGAGTTTTAAGCTCAAGATATGTAATATTTTCAGCACAAGCATGTTATCATTTCAAGCATATATCACTACAATGACATGTGAATAAATGAAATATGCACGTAAGTGAGAAATAAATGAATCAAAACTACGAAGCAAGTGAATAAAATAAATTTATGTGGTTTAACACTCAAATCAATTTATTTGCTCCCTTCATCACTTAGCACAATAGCCTACACCATGCATTCTAGTACTTTCATTGAGTACAACTACAACTTTTTTTATATGGGCAATATAAATCACAATCACTTGTAAGAGAAAATTGGATCTTTTAATGTCCTCCAAGATCTTAATGGTGAACTAAGTTATCATGGAACATAAAATTGTATTGCTACCCAAACCGAATGATGGAGAGAGATTGCCCAAAGGAAGCTTTAAATTATAGCGATATTTAATTACCACAATGACCTAGTGAGCCTAGTTTGAGCCGAACCTAACCCTACTCATTAGCACATAACTTGGCTCATTTAAAATAAACTATCATTTATTTAAGTATAAAATTTATAAAAAAAAATTTAAAAAACCTTCCTCTTCTCAATTGATTTCTTATTATTCCTCCCTAAATTGTCTTTTTTTTTTAATAATTTTAATATACTAATTATTTGAAACAATAATATACTCTTTCTTATAACTAATGGATTATTTTTGGAGATTGATTGGTTGAGGTCGTGCATTGTAGGTGAACTCCCATGACCAACTTCAAAAGAAAGAACCAAAATATGAATAATCTTGAGTATCAACTAATATGATTGATGAAATTTTCTAAAATTATTGCAAAGAGCTTAAATTATTGGGATTTTTTACTTAACACGCCACTTAAAACTTCATAAATAAGAGCCTATCCACTCAAATCTTAAATATGTGAAATAAACCACCAAAAACCTATTACTTTTATTTGAGCCACTGAGCGACCCGCTCCGCCTCCATCTCCTTCCTCGTCTCTTGCATGTTCTCCTGCTACGGACATGCAGGAGACGAGGAAAGAGATTGGACGGAGACAGATGTGAACTGGAGGGATATGAAATGAAATGGAAAGTTACAACCCAAAGATAACATTACTCAAGTTACAACTCAGCGACAGAGATACAAAACCAACATAAAGAAAACTTAACCAACCAAAGAGAGCTAATAACAACTCATAATAATAAATAACTACAAAAAAAAAATTGAACCACACGAACAAGTTAGAAAAAATAACAACAGCCTTCAAATACAGATTGAGAAGATCCCAAAGACTTGAAAAATAAAAAAAACAAAGGACCGGTACCAAAATAAAATGTAAACTAAGAAATTATGGGCAAAGTGAATAAACAAATGAGCCAAGAGACCTCCCATCTAAGCTCAGAACTTAACTGAAAATAAAATATTTAATATCTCATCCTAAATTTTGAATATATAAAAATATATTCAGTAAAAAAAATAGTAGAATTTCAAAAAATTATTGGAATTCTTCATGGCACAATACCCATCTTAGCACAATGAAAAGATTAGTGTAGTACAACATAAAAGCAATCCCAACAATCAGAAAATAATACAAAAGAACACAAGACAAAAGACAACCACACACAAAAAAAGAAAAAAGGCAAACAAGTTACTGATTGCACTAATCACAGCAAAAAGGTAATTGAGCAGGAGAACTAAAAAAGAACCAACCATATATAAAATTAAATTACAATCAAAGTTTAGAGTAAATAAAAATATAATAAAATTGGTTGAATTCACAAAATATAATGGTTGAAAACAAATAATAAATGAAAAAAAAACATAAAAAAGAAAATAAAAGGCCAAAACGAAACAATATATTATTAGTATTAAGAAAACAAAGAAAGACAGAAAACAGAAAACCACTTAAAGAGAAAAGATACAACAAACAAAATTAGAGATTCAATATAAGAAAACAGAGCTAACTTAATAAAAAAAAAACTGACAAAAATTCACTAGAACTAAAACAACAGGAGAATGCATTAACACTGATACATTGAAGAACCCAGTTAACAGGAGAAGAAACAAAAAATGAAGCAAGCAGTGAAGTAAAAACGAAGCAATAAGAGGAAGCAAATGATCACAAATAATAAAGACCAAGAAAATAGAAAGATAAAGACTATTAAATTTTTAGAATTGATATCATAAAATTGAATGATATTATTAGTTAAATTCCTCTTAAATTTTCACTTCCACCTTTCATATGTAATCGTCCAGTGTATTCGAATAATAGAGTCAATAGAGATAAATTTATTTTTAAAAATTTTAGTAATTCTTTCATTCCAAATGTGAAGACAGTTATTTGAAAAACAAAAAGATGAACTCTCATTTGAATATTACAAGAAATATTCTCAGAGTGATATAAAACTAGAAATTTATTAGAATGAGCAATGAAAAAGTTCCCATTAAAAACATATTTATTTAGAAGATAATGAAATAATTGACATTTAAAAAAGAGATGATCATGATTTTCAGTGTTATTAGAATGAATGATGCAAATATTATTAATATTAAATCTCATAAATTGAGAATATCAGAAGTTTTGAGACCTTCCTGAATAATCTTCCAAGTAATAAAAACAAACTTAATGGCATAACATTTATACCAAATGATTTTGAACCAGTCAACCCTAAGAACAAATTCATAAAAGTAGAAATAGACGAATTTATGACAGTAAATATTGACATCTTTCCAAAGGCAAGAGATTCCTTTAGAAATGGTAATTCCTTGAATATCATTAATGAAATCAATAGAAGAATTTATAAAAAGATCAAAGTTTCAACTATAATTCTTAAAACATCAGAAATTATAGCATTACCGGGAAGATTAAACCAATTAAATATAATATAGCAAAAGTTTTCCTTCAAAGATAAACCTTTAAACCAATTGTCATGACAGAAAATTAAATTACTATTAGGAATAACTTTGAACCTTAAAGAAGACCTAATTCTTTTAGCCACATCGACTAAAATCTTTCCAAAAATGAGAAATTTTGAAGCGATGAGTTTTCCAAATAGAGCCATAATGATTAAAACACCAGCCAGACAAAAGAGAATTTGAACTATAAAACTTCCAAATTGTTTTGGTCTCACACATAACATTAATAGAATCCAAAAAAAGTCAAACCAAGGCCACCATGATATTTAGGCAAAGTAAGTTTATCCCAAGCAATAATGTGAAGTTTTCTACAAAGAAGGGAAACCAAGAACAATTTTTGGATGATTAATTTGAAATATTTAAGTTTTGATTAGTTAGATTATTATTTATGAAAATTTAAGTAGTATGCAGTTAAAAACCCTCCCTTACAATAATGATAACGTTTGCGTATCAAACATGTAGTCTCCTTTCATGCTATGTTGAAACTCGGCAGGCCCTACAGCCATCGAGAGATGGTGAAGACCAAATGTGTGGTGTAGGAAAACCAAGAAGAGTTCAGGAAGAAGAAGAAACGGAACAGAGAAGAGTTGAGTTAGTCGCCTACTACAACCTTCCACACGCCTTCTCCTGAGAAGCAAGGTACCTCCCCCTCCTCCATCATGTCTCTCTCCCTTCCCTCTTCCCTCTATCTCCTTCCACTCACCAAACCTCTCCAGCAATCCTCCTCCATCTGTACTTCTCCATCTCTTCCTATCACCAATAGCTACAGAATCAACCTGAAGGCTCTGCCTGAGAGGAGAAGAAGACTGAAACAGTGCCAGGTTGCCACCGTGGACGGCATAGCAGAAGATGTGCAAGATGTGTTGCTTCCCAGAGAAGCGGAGGAGGTTAAGGAAGTTGAAGAGAGTTATGACTGGAGGGAGGAGTGGTATCCATTGTACTTAACGGCAGAAGTCCCGGAAGATGCTCCTTTGGGCCTTACCGTCTTCCACAAACAGCTTGTTCTCTATCGAGACTTCAATGGTGTTCTCCGATGCCATGAAGACCGATGCCCCCACAGGTAGGAGAGAGACCCGAACTCTGAGAGTTTGCTGAAATTTGTTTTGATCTGGAAACTTTCTTTAGGATGATTTGGATTTTATGCGATAAAAATGATTTTTTTTTAACTATTGTATTTCATAAATTAGATGAGGAAGAGGAGAGATCAGAGAACATTGATAAAATCTCATCTTTTCTGTATTTCGGCCCATGAGCTGATTGATGCCCATAAGTGATGGGTAGCGTGTGGCAAATACTAAGGGCCTGTTTAGATACAAGAAGGATTTGTCAAAATATATTAAATCTCGATTTAAAAAATCCCATAAACATTAAAAATTGAAAGTTATTTGAAATGATATATATTAAATTTATTTGAATTCTAATAAGCAGTTTAGCAGTTGTTTTAAAGATCTAAGATTTAAATGAAAGATAAGGGGCATAATAAGGGAAAGTTGTGTTAATTTCTTAAATCCTAATTAAAAGTTGGTTTAAGAATTTGGCTGGATTTATGCTTTTAAAAAAATTGCTTTTCATGATTTAGCCTAATTCCTGGCTAAATTTTGCAGCCAAACAGCACTTAATGTTCTGAAATCACTTGAGATTTGATGATCTGGATATGTTGTGCTAAACTGATTTCTCTTCCTGTCATTTACAATGCCTATTTTTAAAATTTTAGAAGTGTTGTTGAATTTCATTTGTTAACAAATTCTACTTACATCTAAGGATAGGAAACAAAGAACATGAAGTCTGTTTGCACTCTTTTGAATTTCAATCATGGAATTGTATATTTAAAGATTGAAGCAAGCACCAATGTTTCTCAATCAAAACATTCTGTTCTATTTCTACCTATTGATAAGTTAAACTGAAGTCTTACAAATGCTATGTTGACTGCTCTTGTTTGAATTTGAATACTGATGCGTGAGCAAAAACCCTCTTTTTCCAGACTAGCTAAGCTTTCTGAAGGCCAGCTCGTGGACGGGCGGATCGAATGCCTCTACCATGGCTGGCAATTTGAAGGTGATGGAAAATGCGTCAAGATCCCTCAGGTTTGTAAACTTGCTTTTGTACATAAAGTCTTTCACAAATCAAAGGTCTAAGAAGTGTTTGACGAACAAATAGGAAGATTTACATAGATGTCACTCAATTCTTAAGTACTTACAAATCTAACATCGAAACTTCAATTCCCACATGTATGCCACCTTACATATGCATGAAAAGGTGTATTTTACTTTCTTAAAGTTAAAATAATAGTATTTTAAATGTGATATGAAAGATTTATGTGTTATAAATGCAAAAAAGCAAAGTTTGGGAGTTAGACATGTAAATACATAAAGAATTGGGTGGTATCATGTAAATGCCCCAAAATTTATCCTGATATTATAGCGAGGAGTTTATATTATAGGTTTTAGCACTTACCACTTCCCACATCCCCACTTCATGTTTATTCATCTTCATTCAACAGATTATAATCCGTGCAACCAAATTAAATATTTAGAATCATTCACCATGCTAATCTGTAATGACTAACATATCGCCATGAACATTTCTGATTCAAAACTACTGTAATCCACACAGCTACCTGAGGGAGCAAAGATACCTCGAGCAGCCTGCGTCAGGACCTACGAAGTCCGTGACTCCCAAGGAGTAGTATGGGTCTGGATGTCTGACAAGAACCCCCCCAACCTCACCAAGCTCCCATGGTTTGAACACTATGCCAAGCCAAACTTCCAGGACACATCAACAATCCATGAGCTCCCCTATGACCACTCAATCCTCCTTGAAAACCTCATGGATCCCGCACACGTCCCCATCTCCCACGACCGCACTGACTGGACTGCGAAGCGTGAGGATGCGCAGCCGTTGGTCATGACAGTCAAAGAGAGATCAATGCGAGGCTTTGCAGGGCAATGGGGCCGATCGAAGAATCCGGCATTCATGAACTCTCTCAGCTTCCAGGCCCCATGTGTGCTTCAGAACAATCTCCAGTTTGTGGATAAGAAAGGAGTTACTCAGTACTTCTCAGCACTATTCCTCTGCAGACCAGCAGGTCAAGGGAAGTCTATGCTGATTGTGAGGTTTGGAGCCAGTTCAAGGCCTCTACTTTACAATATCATACCAAATTGGTATTACCATCAGAATGCCTGCAAGGTTTTTGAACAGGACATGGGATTCCTCTCCTCACAGAATGAGGTTCTTATAAGAGAGAAGGTGCCAACTAAGGAGCTGTATTTGAATTTGAAGTTTTCTGATACGTGGGTTATGGAATACAGGAAGTGGATGGATAGAGTGGGGACTGGCATGCCTTACTATATTGGACATGAGACGGTATCGATGCCGGCAGAGGCTGCGGTGGTGGAGCAGGCGCCTGTGGGAGCTGCGGCGGCTATTTCAGCTTCAATGCCGGCGAAAGGAGGGATCGGAGAGCTGTATGCGCCGAACCCGACGAACAGATACTACCGGCATGTCATTCACTGCAAGGGGTGTAGGATTGTTGTGAGGAGGCTTGAGATTTTGAAGAATGTGATGAGGCTGTTGAGCATGGCTGCTGTTACAGCTGCGATTCTCACTGCCCAAAGGCAATGGAAGGTGGCGATGTTGGCTCTCGCCATTGTTTTGGTTGGAGCAGCTCAGCTTTGTTCGAGTGCTTTTGCTCTCATTACCAGGAATTTTATCAGGGATCATAGGAGGCTGTGAAAGGAACTTCTTTTATTTTCTTTCCTTTCTTCTTTTTTGTGTTTTTGGGATGATTAAGTTAGTTATAATCGTTAATTGTAGCCTTTTTTTAGCTAATGCCTACATATAATTCGTGCAGCAATTTTCGTGTTAAATCTTGTATGCGCGCTTGTATCCAAACCATACGTTTCTCTTCTTGTCCAGCCATGAAGAGATATGTTGTCCTCCTTCTCTTCATAATTTTCAGCATCATCCTTCTTGGCCATTTGAATGTTGAGAAAGTAATATTTTTTGGTTCGATAGATCTTATACTTAACCAACTATGTAAAAATCAAATGAAAATATTTACAATCTTAGGTGAGATGAGTAATACTAAAAGCATAAGAAAATCGCTTTATAAATATAAATATGAAGAGATGTGTTATTGGGTTTATATTCAGCAACTCAATTTGTAATTCCCCTCTTTTCATAAAGCATGACTATTTCTTATTTATGAAAATATTGTGATAATTGAATTAAATATTATTTGAATATAAAATTTATCAAGCAAAAAGCTAAATCACTAAAGTTCAATCAGAAGACCCAATAATAATAGTTCAATCAAGAGCTCAATTATAAAATAATTAAATGAAACATTAAAACAAGGCTCGTTCGACTACTTTATGGTGATTTTATGATAATAGAAAAGCATTAAATGCATTTCATGCTTCACCATAATTAGGCCATTTCAAGCCAATCATACTTTTTTTAGTCATGTCACCTTAATGACCAACCATTTGACCATCACCTCCATACCTTTGCATGATAAACTAATCATCTATAGCCATTTTTAATACTAATGCATCCATAAAGCCCCCCATTAGCATCAGATCCTTATTTGAGTTGGGTTATGGACTTTCTATTCAACATGGGAATTGGTGCAACATTGATTGAGGTAAATAAGTTTGAGATTTCTTGTATGGACATGAGATGTAAGAGAAAAAGGTAATAATAATAATATATATTGTAGAATATTAATTTTGTATGGGTTAAACCCCATAAGATTAATTACATCTTGAGTGATGAATTTAAGAATACTCTTAATTAATTAATTTTTTTTTATAATAATAATAATATATATTGTAGAATATTAATTTTCTATGGGTTAAAGCCCATAAGATTAATTACATATTGAGTGATGAATTTAAGAATACTCTCAATTAATTAATTTTTTTATGATTATTCAAGGTAAATGGGATATAAGCAATCTAGTATAAAGGTGGATGCTCAAATAATGTTCAAACTCATGGGGATTTATGATGAATTAAAGCAAGATGAAATACAAATGATATGAACATAGAAGTATTAAAATATGATCCCATAGTTTGCATGTGAAAGTTTCTCGATGATGGATGAGATGATTCAACATCAACATTAATGGAGAGAAAATGAGCATATAAAAGGATACACAATGCTCTATAAACACCCTTCGAAAATACTTAAACATAGTAAATGAGTATCATAAAGCTTGAATATAAGAAACATATTAATAGGATATGTGATCTATTCTAACCAAACTTGAAGGAGTTTTTAATGTCATAACATCAAGCTTCTCAATGCAATACAATATAAGCTTAATAATTAGAGAGGGGAATGGGTTTTATAATTCGGTCCTGTAATCAAGATAAGTAGAATGATTTGGTGGTCAACCATTTAATGTTGACATAGAATATGAATAGAAATTTAAAAGCTAACATGTCGAGGTATTGCATAGTAAATGAGTATCATAAAGCTTGAATATAAGAAACATATTAATAGGATATGTGATCTATTCTAACCAAACTTAAAGGAGTTTTTAATGTCATAACATCAAGTTTCTCAATGCAATACAATATAAGCTTAATAATTGGAGAGATGTTGACATAGAATATGAATCGAAATTTAAAAGCTAACATGTCCAGGTATTAGATTTGTAAAAATATAATATTGGATGGTATGCATC